CGGACTGTACACCGTTCGAACTCTTAAAGTCGATCACTGTTTATGCTCATCACAACAAAGCCTACCGATAGATGTAAGCCCTTTAAATGTGAAGCGAATAAAAAAGTTATACTTGAATTAAAAATGGTTTTATATTGATAAGGATATTGCTAGTAATAAAGAGCTGTAAGAATGCTTTGTATTTGTACAATATGATGTGAATGAACTTACTTTTGAGTAAGTGATAGCAAGCAAAGAACGCCAGCAATGGCTGCTAGCTATTCTACAATCGGTGCTGGTTTTAAAACAGTCATTACAGAAACTCCAGCGCGGGAAAGACTAGCTGTGCAAAAATTGGTGCTGAAATCAGAACAGCTGTTTCATAACTAGCATAGCCAATCTACTGAATACATTTACATAACATATTATTCAGAATTCATGACACATATTAGTAGCTTCAGTTTGATATTAAGTCAACATTATATGTAGAAACTTGAAATAAACTGAAATAAACTGAACTTATCTAAACTTTTCTTCAAATACGAATTTTAGCTAACTTTTTCCTGGTACAAAAAAAATGAATATTTAAATTATGTTTAGATATTTTATTTTATGTAACTTACAAATACATTGATAGTTATTTCGTTATCAAGAGTACTATATAAATTAAATATGTATTTTTGATTTCAGAGATAAGTTGGGTGGTTTCTCTCAATCTGTTTCTTTACATTCTATAATCATGTATAATGTCATCACTTGATTATAAATATCATACACTTATATAATATATTTATTTTTTTATTTATTTGTTTTCAATGTATAGAATTTGGATATTTTTTTACGTTTTATGGTTACCTTACACGACAACCTTGAATTATTTTTAAGCTATTCACCGCGCTCTCTGTCTATTTAAATCCTTTACTTTTACTCATCATTTCTAGCTCACGTTGTCTTTTGTTGTTTTCGTGTATTGAATTTTCGCGTGTACCTGCCTTTTCCTTTGTCATGCCCATCGACCTTACATTTTCAGGATCCGATTTATTTTATACTGGGTAATGATCTCTATTCTTACATTATAAGCAGCCGTTCTCTCTAAATATCTATTTAACTGGCCTCTGGGCTTTCAATCTGCTTAATTTTTCAAATTCTTTACCAAATTTACACACACTGATGATGGGATTCCTTTCCAGTAATTTTAATAATTTTTTTTCTAGTTTCTTGCTTCGTGCCTTCAAGTTTCTATTTTTCTAACTCCTTCATCCATCCACCACTAAGTCTCCCCTTTATCTCCTCGCATATAAATATGGGTTTTTTTTTCTGGTTCTTCCTCACATGCCCTGCAGCTTTCGTCCTGAAATCCCTTGTTTCATGTCCTTCCTACATTCCCACATCTCAACCTTGCCCATTGTTTTTTTATCTTTTTCTTTATCTGTCTATCTTCCCAGAATTTTTTGATCCCGGGTTCCTTTTTTTATCTCCTTACAGTAATCGCAGTATTTTAATTTTTCAATAATTGACCAACTCTTTTGAGTTTTTTTGTCTCCTTTTATTTGTAGTACTCTTTCTAGCCTCTCTGAAAACTTACTTGCTCCCTTATTTTCAAATAGGCCTTTGATCCCCATTCCATCTCCAAACTCTTCAGGGGCCGCCTCCCCTGATCTTAACCACTTACTTGGATCTTTATTCATTGCACATCTAATTTCCTTCGTTAGGAAAGTTTCTGGCCATCTCTCATCTTGTATTTTCGCCATGTGCAAAATGTATTTTACCGCCCTTCTCATAGTTTCTACCTCCAAGCTTTTTCTATTGGCCTCTATTTTCCATATACATATACTCGTGTGTATTAACATTGATGGCTAGAGCCATTTTAAAAAATTTCCCTTGTACTCTCTCTAGCTGTTTTTATTTTTCCTTACCCCAGGTCTCTATCGCATATAGGCACCCAGCTTTTACTATAGTACCTAGTAGATATAGTATCCTTATGAGAGTCTCAATGTTAGCTCTTTTCCATATTCCCCATACAGTGTTAATTGCTTTTCTGGCTTCATTAGGTGTTCTATTACATGGTGGCTAAACACGTTTTTCATTGAATGCCAAAAGCCTAAATGCTTGTATTCGCTCACTACTTTCATTCTTTCTCCCTTCAAGTGCCAATTCTCTGCTTCTACAAGCCTTTTTAAAAGCGACAGTTTTTGTTTTCTTTACATAAACCTCTAGTTTATTTTTAACATTGTGTCGTTCATAGTTAGTAAGCATATTTTGGAGTCCTTCCTTTGTACACTTATAAATAAGTATACATTTACAAAACTTTAAGTTACAAAGACTTTTTTACAAAAGAGTTTAATTCAGTTATTTGACAAACTGCGTAGGAGTCTGACTTTACCAGAGTATTTAAGAGAACTTTTGTAAATTTCACATCCAACAAGTTGATTGCTGTTTTTTTTTTTAATTTACTTATTTTCATGAAATCTCTTCGGAGCCTGAGATAAAATATTAATACTAAGCTGGTAATTACTGTTAACAATATGTAAATCTTATAAAAACGTATGTATTAGCTGTTTATTTTATAATGGTTTTCTTTCGATAGGATTCAAAAAATTTTCTTGATATTTATCTGATACTTGCTTCTACTATTATATTTACGTGTATCCTTATCAAAGTCAATTGTTTTGCTAGACGTTGGTCAGCTAATAAGTTCTGGCCCTAACAAAGATGCAGCACTACCAAGCGAGTACGACTCTAGCGTCGCATAGTTTTGCTCCAAACAAATTGGTATCTACAGTTACAAATCAGTAGCTTAGATTGTTCTTAAACGGCAGCAATTTCAACAAGAAAACTTTAGAGATTTCAGGAAAATTAAAGATTTTGAAAAACGAGCAGTAATTTCGAATACTTATCACCTAAAAAAATTTAAGAGAAAGTAGGCAGTACATTGGAAGACTGCCCCTTTATATTTAATTGCTTGAAGTTGTGTTGCAGAATAAGAAATAGGACGTACGTACAAGCACGAATGACGAGCCTTGCTTAGGACAACTTCAGAGATTATTAAAGAAGTTTGTTGTATAGGACTGAAAAATCGCAGATTGACATTGTTTGGTATAACCGAAGCTGTAAACATATAGAAATAATGTGCAGGTAGTACTTTAAGTAAATTTTCGGGCTTTTATCGATTGGGCAACAGTTGCATAGAAAAATTATTTGTATTAAGAATTAGGAACTCTCTTGTAAGAATCCCAGTGAATTTGTTAAATGGCTTATTGTTACGGATGTAATTTCAATTACATTATTACACTTGAAAAAGCAAATCAAAAAGCAAAGGCAAAGCTAATTTCGTCAGCCAACAAGGTTATGGTGAGTGCTTGTGGGATACACAGGGAATTATTTTAATTTACTACGTGAAAAAGGGTAAAAGTGTCTAGTGCTGGTGGCTACTACGCAAGATTACTGCTTTATTTGAGTGATGAGGTCAACCAGAAAAATACCTCATTTGGAAAAAATATTGTTCTATCACGACAATGCTTCGGCCAATCGTTCAATCATTACAATAGGAAAAACATGCAAATCAAAGTTCAAATTCCTTGAGCATACACTCTGTTCATTAAATCTACTAACCAGTGACTATTACATGTGTCCTAACCTGAAAAAATTTCTTAGAGATGAATGTTTCACAGCAACAAAGAGCTCATTGATGCGATAAACAGCTATTTTAATGATTCTGATAAATGGCACAACAAAGGGAGTCTAATTGTAAAACCAGGAGTTACCAGCTGACCCTCATTTTTAGTCCTAGCCCTTAAACGTTTAAGAATACTATCTGTTGAAGAAAAGAATTATAAAAAATGCTGCTGATAGAAGAGGCAATGCAATAATCCTTTCAAACTTTGTATGCTACATGATATTCTTAACTTTTTTATTCAACTTTTACTAGTATCTTGACGAGTAATTATTGAAACTAAGTCCAAGAGCCACTTTTTTACTTCTATTCTCTTAGTATTACAAGTGTGTATTGCACATACTGTTTTAAAAGAATAAATTCAAGCGTCCGACTACGATGAACCGACAATAAAGCAGTTCTTTCGTTGGTACGACAAGAATTTGGCTGTATCTACTTACCTTTAATCACAAACAGCTATAGTGATTATGTCTGCTTTAAGCGCTGCCTTATTTATTAGCAAACAGTTTGAGAAAATTTGAGAAGCCATGTTAAGTTAAAAGTGTTGATCTGGTGATATCAACACATCAAGAATTAGTGGACTTAAAAGACAGCTTCTTTCTCAAATCTTCCACTTATAAATAATGTGAAAAGTAGGGAAAAGTATACTGATTTTAATGCATACTAAATAGTAGATATTTTTTATTCTACACATTATTTGTATGAAAACAGAAATTACTGATGCAAATAAATGATGCTAAGAGGTATTTCAGGAAATTGGTTATTTTTATCATTATACTAACACAGTGTGAAAGGGTGGTTGTTATTTTTGTGTTAACTAAATAAGAGATTTGTATAAAAAACTGTTTTCTTGATTTTATTTTTTAGACATTGATAGGATGTTAAAATTTTAAATAAGGTATCAGCATGATTTTAGACAGGTAGAATCTTAAAATTAGATGTTACAAACAGGACCTTTCAAAGTCGTGGTAACTAAATTTACAATTTTGTCTCGGAATTATGGGATACTTAACAACATTTTTCAAAAATACACACAGTCATACATGATCATATATACTTACAGCGTAATTGGATTTTGTAGTTGATTATACTTTTTCAAAATTGCTGTAAATCATTTTTATGTTCACAACAACTGAGTCAACGTTTTTAAAGTAGTTAACTTATAAATTTTTTTTAACTAATGTGTAATTAAATTTATAATATTTTATATAAGTTAGTAATGTAGTTAATTTTGTTGATGAATTTCATCAACTCATTACTTCATAAATCTTTTGATAAACTTAACTTACTTAATAAAAGTTTAATGATTAAATACTATCATCTAATTCATATTTTTTTACTTTTACAGTAATTCATTAAACGAACTGAAAGCTTTGGTCTATAAAGACTTCTGTTCACAAAGAGACGAAAAATTTGATGTTTGTCTTCTTTTGGATTTAAAAGTACGTATTGTACTATTTAATCTTACAATTCTTATATGTTTTACATTAACAACGATTTTTACAGCAATGTCATGAAGATAACATTTCTATGTTTTATTTTCTGCTACCTGACATCTTTACAGAATTTCAAAATGTAGCCCAAGGAAATATGCAACTTCTTTATCTGATTGTATCTACTATTGATTCGATACAATTGCAATCCTTAGTATGTCAAATCATGCAAGGATATTTTCAAATATTAAAAAAAGAATCTTTTACATCTACAGTAACTTCGAGTTTGAAATGGGAAACATTCGATCAATACTGTTTTTGGCAGCTAGTATATGCGCATGATTTTCCTATTGATGTTATTTTACTTGTTTTACCAAAATTACAGTTTCGACATCATGCAGAAGCCCTAACGTCAATTCTGCTCATGTTAAAAAAAGAAAAGTGAGTATAACCTAGTTAAGATATTATTTACATAAATAATATTATGAATATATAAATCATTACGTCATCTTATATAATTTCTATTAACAAATATTACCTACGGAACTATTATAGTGAGCTAAAAATTTTCAGATATTATATTCCAAATTCCAAACTTGTATTTTGTCTTCTAGAAAAGAAACAAGCACAAAACTGTTTTATCATTTGTCACACTGCCTTCGTACCTGAGAATAAAAAAAAAAGGGGGGAGGGTACGTAGAAAGTGGTCATCTCGTCTCGTGCGTCTTCCGGGTCCCTCGTCCTCCTGGATTCTGCTCCTGAAAAAAGGAGTTTGCACGGGAATTTTCTCTCGTTCTACCGAGAGAAATAAATATGGGAAATGCTATCACGTCAAGTTAAGAAAATTATTTATTAAAACTCTTCACACTGCTCTACGAATAACTCCTCGACGGCGTTACAGCGGCTCCGCCTCGCCGCGCGAACCGCAAGCGCACGTTCGGGGTCCTAAGACCAGGAGGGACCGCGGCCGCTGCCCTAACGCGCTCCTGGCCACGTTACGCACGCACATACGCACACTCGCGCACGCCCTCACACGCAACCTCTCGCCCCTGTCCCTTCCTTGCCAAACACACTATCTTACTCTCTTCTACCGCTGCCTTTTCCTTCTCGTCCGATTAAAATTTTCTTCGCCCTCTCTCTCTCTCGTACTCTCACAGTCTCCTGGTAACCTTACCCTTGTTCTCTTTTGTCCCTAGTCCCGGTTCTTTCTCTCTCTCTCTTCCTCTTTCTCTCTCACTCTCTCCCTCGGCTATGCCCGTCTATCCTGCACACCTTGAGCGGAAACGCGTGAACACCCCAAAATCCGGCACTCCCGAGCATGCACCCGCGACTTCTCGTGACCTGGCCCCCTCTCTCTCTCTCTCGCACTCGCACTCTCTCTTTCTCTTTCCCTATCCTCTGTCTACTCCTGGACCTCTTCCAGGAGGCTTACCAGCGCTCGCGAGCCCTATCACGACGCATGAAAAACGGAGGGAAAAGAAACACGCTACCTCTCGGCTCTCTGACTCGTGACAAGGGCGTATGGCGTCCTCCTGGGCCTCGAGCTGCTGGTGAGTCCGTGGGGCTGATAGCTGCGGTGTTACTCTCTCTCTCTCTATTCCTCGTTCTGCGGTCGCTCTCTCTCTCTTGTCTTGGATGTTCTCGTGGTGATGGTCTCTGACGACGGGGACACAGCAGCTCTCTCTTCTTACTCTCTCGTTCTGAAAACAGCTTCCTCTTGCTTTCTCTCTCAAATCGCAAAACCTCTGACTTCTATATGCGTGCGCGATGGCTCTCGACTCGAGACTGAGTCAGCACGTCCCGCTGTAACCACATCACGTACATCTTGGCTTCTTTTTTTTTCTCTCTCTCTCTCTCTCTCTCTCTCATACCCGAGGGCCGCCGCCGCGGCATGAACAGTGCTGTGCGCGCTCACTCTTATTCCTTCTACGCTGTTGCTGCTGTGTCTCGCGTCGCGTCGTCCTCTTCTCCTTTTTCCGAGAGCCAAAACAAGAAAACAATTCCGGGAAGGTAAGCCTTTGCCGGTGTGACGTCATACGCGTTGCGTCAGCGAGAGCAGCATGAGCCTGGAGGCCAGATTTACCTCGTTACACATTCTCCTAATTTATTTTGTATGAAAAAAACTCACTAATTTAGAAATATGTTTGAACAAATTTTACTTTCTTTATTGGTAAAGTGGCCCTTTTTATTAGGAAAATATTCTGTAGGAAAATTATATTTCCGCCCTCGGGTGGTTTTGGGAGGCTGGTACTTCCTCGGGCAAAAAAGCAGTTTTCCGGAAGTCGTTCGAAAAGTCTCGTTTACGAACCTCGTTACGTCCCTCGCCTTCGGCTTGGGCCGCAAACCTCTCGGTTCGCAAACAGAGACTTTTCAAACTCGTAGGAAAATTACTATTCATAACGTTTAGTGTGACTCTACGAGGTACACAAGCAATATTGATACATTTATCACTGTATTATTTGGCACGTATACAGACGATGGGACTTTTATATAAGCACTCTTGAAACCAATTGTGCCCTCTTCGACAAAAAATGTACTTAAAATAAAAAATTAAAATCCAGTTATTTTCTATTTAAAAAAAATATTTCAAGAAATGAGAAGAAATGAGAAAAATATCCTTCCCAGGTTGGATCTAACACGCAACCTCATGTTTATAAGTATTCAATTAA